CCACTTCAGACAGTAGAGGCACTGGGAACCACAAAATCAAACAGCTTCAAGGGAGGAAAGGGATACAGATAGAAAAGTTAATTGAGAAGGAGAAAATCATTCTTATAATGCCAGTGGTACCTGTTGGTCAGTTGGTGGAGAGACAAACCTGCCATTCCAGGTTCTTGCATCTAACACAACTCAAAAATGCCAGACAGAGAGAATCCCATAGTGTTTGGGAAAGTTACCTAATCCTCTTAATGGATTTTCCTTCTTGAGTTCCTAAAATTTGTTCCAAACACCAAAATCTAAAAGAAAAGGCAAAACTGAAAGCAGACCTGGGGATTCTGGCTTTGGTTATGTTAGCTTGGGATTCTTATTTTCTTGTGACAGTAGTTTTTAAACACTTTCTGAGTTTAAGTGAAGTCTCAATTTTCAGGAAGCAAAGAAATGAGATATATAATCGATGCTTTTCTTCTGTTCAGCTTTTGGTTTCTAGACAGGCACTAAATGCCCCTGCACTTTTATTGGCAAAGCAAGGCAGGTAATAACAGTGAATAAGAAACCTATTCTTAGACGTACTGGCTCTTTCTCGAGTAAAGTACCACTACAGCATGAATGACTCAATCATCTACTCAAGAGCTATTACTTGCAGCGATGAAGCAATGTTAATTGGATAATGGCCTGCTGCCAGCTAATATTGGCATGACCTACAATACCCTTGGCTGACAGCCACGTATGTCTCTCTCTCACACCTTATTTTTTGTAATCTGGATGGGAAGTGGAAGCCATTAAAAAAAACTCCCAAGTGATATTTAACTTCTTATCATGAATTAAAAGCTTAATTAAGTGCCTTGTTAAAGGAAGGAAGACCAGTTTCTGTGATTAAATAAAACACAACAGTTAGGGATATGGATCAAATGAATAATTTTTGAAACTTAATATTTTCCAAGAAAAGAATTAATTTGGCTCACTTTTAACAAGAACCTATCAGAAAACTACTGAAAAATAGGATAGTAAAAATTAAATGTACAATTTTTGGAGAGCAAATAAAATCGAGTGAGAGGAAAACTTTTATAAAATTAAGATTCATAGACATGGTTCTTAATAATTCTCCTTTGCAGTAATCTATGGATTTATTACATGCTCATTTTTCTAATGGTTGTCTATATGCAAATTAACTAATGGTGTTATCTGAAATCAATTTAGTTGGACCAATGTAAAAGGCTGTGTGGACACTCTTGAGTTGATATAAAAATAGCCTGTACTAATTTGGCTTAAGTTGATTAGGAAAAGGTTTAAACTAAACCAAAACAAGCTACTCTTAAACCAACGTAAGAACATCTAACGCAACAGTTCGCACTGGCTTAAAAAACAATTTAAATTAAACCAGTTCCACTTTCTGTGGGTATGCAAGGTATGATATTTAATTAATTTCAATATGGTAAAAACGAATAGATTTTTTTTAAAAACAAAAATGATTTTAAATCAGTCCACCTATTGTTTAAACTAGACAACTATTATAAATTTGACGAGGGTCCAAGTGTCCTAATTCCAGCCTCTAAACAGAAAACAAAATCTGCAACTTAAATCTTCAAAGGAAGATTTATTATTTTGGATAGTTAAAAATAAGCTTCTGTTTAAAAAAACAAAACCAAACAACCCAACTCAGATGAGCTAAGTATTGACATTAGGTAAGTATGTTGGTAACTGCTTTTATGCCTTTCTGTACACCAGTGCCACATTTAAGCCTTCACTGGACACTAACTCCTATTTTTATGATTTCACATTTCTGCCATTTCAAAGCACAAAGAGAACCTAAAACCTGATGCTTGTGTGGCTCGTTTAGAAATATTTTTGTTATATTACAAGCTATTTAGTGAGTTTTTGAGCCATCAGGGCTATTTAAAAAGGATAACTTAAGGGTACTTTTGTTCTTGTGGTACCAGCTATATCTCAAGGTAAATTAGCCTTTTCTAAAAACACCACAGCATTAAGTATTTATAGAAAACCTCGGAGTCTGAAAAGTTCTTTGCCTAGGATATAGGTATTACCTAGTGAACTAGAAGGACTGGAAAAATTATCATAATAAATGTGAATTAAATGCTTTGTCGTATTTTCCTGATCCCCCTTGCAAAATTTGAAGGTTTTTTGATTCTGCTAAAGGAAGCAAGAAGCCCAGGCAGCCATCTTTGATGATGGCATACAGCTTCAAACAGTACGTTCCTCGGCCCGCGCCGCTTCCAGCAGCTCCCATTGGCCTGGAGCAGCGAACCGCAGCCACTGGGAGCTGCAATCGGCCGAACCTGCAGATGCGGCAGGTAAACAAACCGGCCCGGCCCACCAGGGGCTTTCCCTGCACAAGCGGCGGAACAAGTTTGGGAACCACTGATATAAAGTATAGGAGCATATCAAAACAGCCAAATTAGAACAGCCAACAAAAGTAGAGAAATTTGCATATGCATCATATAGTAACTGAGAAATTACTGTACTGTGATTATGCATATCCTTGTGCTCCAATTGGTTAAAAATGGTTGTTAGACAATTAAAGTTAAAGAATTTACATACGTATATTTATTCAAATAAACCAGTGATTGAACAAATCAGGCTTCTTAGCCTATCAGCACAGGGATTTATGTATGTAAGAAACCAGTACCTATATTGTATCCCTGCTCTGACTGAAATAGAATTATCTCAATCAATCTAAAAAAAGTAAAACCTTGTTGCCATGTAATAAATCTACGTCAATGGAAAACTAACAACACTTATCCCTTACATTCTCAGACCACTGAAAAGTATTAAAAGCCAGATTCTCTGCCGGTATAGTTCCACTGACTTCAATGGAGTACGGTAGCAGAGAATTTAGCCCTAAATCTCTACAGCTGTTTTGTCTTTTTTAAGTAACAGTCTCATATTAACCTGAAAATAATGCTCATACTATTTATTTTAATGGCGATTGTACATAATAGAAATCATGTATGGTTGGAACAATATTACTTATGTGGTAGGAACAGTCTTTATATTTTAATAGCAGTGTCACGAGGTATGTTTCGTATTCTCTCTTTTTTTTAATATTACCAAAAGTTGCTTTGCAATTAAGAGACTGCATACACCACCAAGTTAAATAGGTTTTTCCGCAGTAAGATTATTAACTAACATTGTGTAGAAACATAATGCAGGTACTAGTGTGTCCTATATGATATGAATGAAGTCTTAAGGAAATGGTACTGGACTACAGTTTATTTATGACAAATTATTTTTTACCCCATTTTATTTTTAGTTTGCGAAGTCACGTTAAAATTAATCGGGTACTTGCATCATCTATTTCAATCGGGCTGTGTGTAAATCTGCACAACCGGCAATAATACGGTGTAGAAATATAATTAATAGCAAGACTATTCGAGGCTCTGACATGGTTTAAATGACAACTGTACTGCTCAGGGTGACTGCCTTAAAACACAAAGGTGATGTACAACTAAACATGCATTAAAGTAACTTTAAGGTCAATTTAAACCTTCAAAAGCCAAGAAATTTAGAGACAATCCAAAAAATATATTTTAAAGACAAGAACTAAGAAGTTAGACACAAAATTATCTGAAGGAGCCAGAGGCAAAGGGGCATTCAATACATAACTGACTGAAGTTTACTGCTTTAGTTTCAGGACTCATGAAGTTACATTGACTGACTTCCATTGTTATTCACTAATTTGCACCACGATGTAACATCAAAGCTACAGTATTATTGTTGTTAATTGTTTTAATATGAACAATAAATGGTGCCTCAGTAGAGCCAGCCCACAGGGAATCAGGTACATGGAAATTTTATGTAAATGGCCTAATTTTAAAAATGTTATTTTAATTCCAATGGGTATAAAATAATTAATGTTGAAACAATTTGTTAGTCTCATATCAGACCCTAGAACACCATTTATCTACAGATCAGGTAGCTTCATGCTCCTCTGACACGCCATAGATAACATCTTTACTACCACTGCATGCCTGTATAAGAGAGCAAGAGAACATAGCAGCCCCAGTGCACCAGGTGAGTTACCTGGCACAGTGTACTTCCACCACAGAGCAGTGGGAAGCAGAGTATTTTGTGACTCTGATGTGGCCAGGGGTTGCAATCCAACACAACATCTCCTCCTGGCAAAGCCACAAGTGAGCCCTGTGTAGCTGGTAAGTCAGATTGATGCATGCTAGGGAATCGCAATAGAGTGGAAGCCAGCAGGTGTGATTTCATGGGAAACAACAACAACGACAAAAGGTGAACTTTTCAGTGAACTCTGTCTTTAATGCCCCCTGTCCACTGATATTTGGACCATTCTGTATCTTTAACACCTACAAAATTATTTTCCAAAATAATTTGTTCAGCACATTTTTTTCAGCATAAACCACGTGGCTTGAGGCAGTTAAATATCATACTAGTGATGAGCGGAAGGGAAAGGAAACAAAGCTGAGCGAGAAATACAGGGAAAGGAACAAGAACCACCAAAATACTCGCTGCTGAAAAGGGAAGGGTGGCAATGAGACCCAAAATAATGTGACAATTCAAATGATTTTTAAACAATAACCCACTTTCTGAGAGCCAAATGGCCCTTTTAAATTTCCTGTCTAGAAAACCAGAAGAATACCTGGGTCCAGATAATGTACTGAATGGAGCTATATTCATTAAGTGACCTCTGTTTGGGTACTACTCTTTTAGCAGTGGTGAGAAAAGGAAGCTCAAACATTTTAAAGCTTTGCTATAGTAACTGGTTTGAAATGCTGGCTCTTTTTTCCAGCAGAGAGGATTCTGTGAATACGTTCATTCTTTAACTCTCAAGGGGCATCCAACAATTCTTAACCAACCAAAACAGAAAAATCACAGCAACAGGCACGCAGATTCAGATCCTAGAATCTGTGCTACATTTGGATTTATCTTTTAAGACCTTGAGAGTTAGCTGGCTAGTAGCGAGTACACCATTAATGCCATGTAAGAGGGGTTTGTTTTTACAACAGAGGAATAATGACATACTGTACCTCCTCTGGCAGGCTGACAACCAGGTCATTTTCCGTCTGCCCAACCAGTGCCTGCAAGAAGTATTCACTGCAAGCAGCCAGCACAGCCCGGTGGGCTCGAAACTCTTTCCCCTCCACAATCAAAGTCACATCACAGAGAATATCCTGCTTCCGCTGGTCATTTAGGCACAGGAGGATATTGGTACAATGGACTGTTGACTCATACACATACATGGGGGATTCAGTCTTCTCATCCACAGACATTCCGTTCACACCCTAAAATAGAAACAGCAACAATAAGGAAAGATATTGCTGAAGAGTTATTACAGCAATCACAATTTTAACAGCGAGAGCGAGATAACATCATAATTTGCGTCCTGCAAGATCTAGGCAGCAAATTAAAGAACTGCTGATCAGCACATTAATTCTTAGTCTGAACAAAGAACTCAGAAAAGTTACCTGGAAAGACATTTACATTACAAGCCTTTATTCTACCCCACTTTGTAGGCTTTCCCCCCGCTCCCCCCACAATATAAAATCAAACTAGATTTCAGACTAGTCCACAAAATGCCTACAAATAAGACTACCAATAAATACTTAATTCTTTAATTTTATAAGTAATTACACATACAACTTTGGAAAATTATAGTAAAAATAAAAATATGAGAATATTGGGTCTTTCACAGAGAGAGAAGGTTTTGACCCGTGTCCTTCTGTTGTGTTATGTCAAGAAACTTGACATTTAAGTTGAGATGTATACATTCAGGTGGACAGCGCTTTTAGAATTTACACTGAAAACCCAGGCTTAACTGCGAAGGAGCCAGGAGTTGTACATGACAGAAAGAACCCACCTAACTATGATGATTTCATTTCCTATTGTCTCAATAACAGATCTAGTTATTTTTAAAGATCAGTGGGGGTGTGTGAAAGATTTTTAGAATTCATTTATTCCCAGGTGTGGCTGAAACAATGCAAATTCATTGGCTGTTTAAGACATTTACAGAGAAAGCAAAAGTAATTTCTATTTTTTCATCTTTCCAAATTAAGAATCCAAGGTCCAAAATCTCATGTATGGGAGGAATTCTGAACGCGGGCAAAGCCCCAGTGAAGTCACTGAGGGGCTTGTCTTCGCTACCGGGATAAGTTGACCTATGTTACACAGCATAGGTTGACTTACTGCGCTGCATCAACGGGAGATGCTCTCTGATCGACTTACCTTACTCTTCTGGGGGAGATGGAGTCCACCAGAGAGCACTCTGCCATCGATTTAGCGGGTCTTCATTAGAGCCACTAAATCAACACCCGCTGCATCAATTGCAGCAGTGTCGATCTCCCCAATAGTGAAGACAAGACCGAGATATCATGTGGGTGCAGAAGAGTTTGCCCCTGTCTAGAAATTTGTAGAACCATGGGTTAAATAATTTCTTTTTGCTGACTATGCATTTGTATGATGCACAATATCCACTGCAAGAGTGTGAACAGGGAGATTCCTTATCTATTCCTGATAATACAACTCCCTGTACTGTTGAACAAAATTACTTTTTCTTCACTTACCTTCAACATCATCACTTGAGGGACCCCATGCGTATCTGAATAATTAAAACAATTTATTCCCCACCCTCCCATATCTTTATGGAGAGTTCTGTTTAGCACTGAAGTCAATCTTCTTGTTTGCTTTGCTTTCTCATTCTAATTTCTGTGGCAAGAAAAACAATAGAAATGTATTCTATGCTATATTTAGCCTTGGCAGGCAGAATTTAATTTCAATGGAGAATATTGATGTTTATTTTTAAGCATTTTTTTAGATTATCAAATTAACTTTCCACAGTTGTAGGAAATTATGGGGGGGGGGAGGGTCCAGACAATAATTATTTACTGACATTAGACATAAAGATTCAAAAAGTTAAAGCTTTATAACCAATACAACACACATTGTCAACATCACATATCAAAATACACAAAGTATATATCCTTAAATCAAACTAAGTTCTCAAGAAGCAAATTTTTTATTTTTTTTTATTATTTTTTTTTACTTTGCCTATCTGTAAAGTTCAAGATCATTGATGGAAATTTTGTTGTTGGTTTGTGTGTGTACAGTGAAAACAACATTTAATGTCAAAAAAATCTAATCCTTCCAAGCCTACCTATCAGGTAAGATTCAGAGTCTTTACAGGTAATGGTTACAAATCAATTTGTTTTGATACAATATAGTTTACATTACAAATACCTGAATCTACAGTAGGAAACATGCAAAATTCCTCATTTGTTAAAAGCAGCTCTTATAGACAATTTTTACTTTGATCATTTTAGTTTTGTGGGCGCTTGTACTTGGTAAACTCAATTCAGTGCTATTACTGTTGCTCCAGATTGAAACCTAGATATTTTTCCTAATAATCGTCATGCTGCAAAAGATCCTATGCATTCAAAAATATAGCAGGAAAAGGCTTCAGAATGGACCTGTTTTCTACATGTAAATGTATACTCACCTTTTCAGTCAAAGAATATTCCTCAACTCAACTGTATAACACAGGTCCTAGAACTTCTCCAAAGTAATTCCTAGAGCACATACATAGAGGATATTCTGTCTGATTAGGGACAGTAGCAATGGATTAATAAAAATGAAGTTTTAGACTTCTGTAAAGCAGAGAGACCATGATTGAGATCTTGCTTCAATACAGACATCCAGATTGCTGACGCTGGCATTCCAGAACTTCTGTGGGAATTCCTAATGAAATGCTTATGACTTATGAATATGTTACATTTACTGATGAAGGCCAAGATTTTCAAAAGTAGGTGCCTAAGGTTAAGCTCCTAAATAAGTGGCTTGATTTTCAATGCCAAATACCAGTCATCTCCCTCTCATTTGATTGTGTCTTTTTATAGGTATACACACAACTAGCTATCTACAGTTGAGGGGTGTCCTTTTAATTTTCTGCAGTTTTACTTTTTGTTATGGGGTTGCTTTCTTAAATTGAGAAAATTTACACTCAAAAATTCTTCTCATGAAGTGAGATTAATGATCAGAAGTGGTTGCAATCATTTTATTAGGATTATGGTAATGTAAAAGAGAAAATGATACTCAGCTCAGCCCACTCACAGCTTTCTGTGTAACTGATCTTAGATGTTAATGCTAATGTAAAATAATGTTTTAAGTGGTCACTGTTGAGTGGTGTGAAACTTAAGATTTTACAAGAAAAATCTAGTGGGAAAATCTGAAAGTTGCAAATGACAATTAAATGGAGAATGCATTTTTTTTTTCAGGCAAATCTCATGTCGGTAATGTCTGAGATGATTCTGAAACTGTACAAGAAACCTGAAACCTGGCAGATAATAAAAAGAATCAACTATATTTTTAGTATTTAAAAGAAAAAAGACACTTTGCCTGAAGTTGTAATCCGTTTAGTACAGTAATAGCACAATAAGCAAATATTTGTGTGAATCAAACACTGAATTCTTTGGTTACTAGTTAGTAATTTCCTTCTTTAACTATTGCTCTTATCAAAAATGTTTAAAACATTTATTATAAAGCTAGTGGAATGGTGAGAACATCACCCTGTGTTTCCTCACTGGTTACTCAGCAAGCCTTTAACTGATAGGAAAAGTGTTGGCCTATAGAGGTCCCTGATTTGAATTTGACCTGTACTGATTGTCACCAACAGCCATTTCCACTGCAGCCAATAGCCTGTAGGTGCCCCTTATGAAATGAATTGGTGGTATAAGCCTAGTTTCCTGTACCCCAGACAGTTATTTGTTGCCATATGCTACAGCAGTGGAAGTGGAGGGTCCAGGCAGCCTCTCTATACCAAACCACCATGTTGGAGGGGGAGGCGGAAAAGGCTCTTATTAATTCAAGTATTGCGTGAGGGCATCATTTGGCCTATATGAACACAAAGATGACTATTTACTCAGTGATGTGCAAGCATTAGGTCAGGGATATGATAGCGTGAGAGACCGATACTCTAAACCAGCGGTTCTCAAACTTCATTGTACCGCGACCCCCTTCTGACAACAAAAATTATTTCATAACCTCAGGAGAGGGGACCAAAACCTGAGCCCGCCTAAGCCCTGCCAAAGCCAGAGCCCCACAGCTCCTGGCTAGGGGGCCAAAGCTGAAGCGCAAGGGCTTCAGCTCCATGCAGTGAACCTGTAATCTGAGTCCTGCAGCCCATGGCTGAAGCTCTCGGGCTTTGGCTTGGGCCTTTAGTAGTGGGGCTCGGGCTTCAACCCCGGGCCTCAGCAAGTCTAAGCCAGCCCTGGCAACCCCATTCAAAGGGGGTAGCGACCCACAGTTTGAGAACTGCTGCTCTAAACACATCTGCTGTAATATGCCAGAAAAGGTTTATTGGGTGTTGCCTCAATTTGACTACAACATCCAATTTTAGCATGAAGGCCATCAAGTAAAACTGTATAATTTACTATTAAGAATCACAGCACCGGATCCAGTGCAAAATGAATGGCATGAAATGCAAGCAAACATACTAGAGAGACTGCATTAAGCCTTGTAGAAAAGGTTCCTCTCAATTCTCTCTTGATCAAGTTAAGAGGATTGATGAAGTGTTGTATTTTTTAGCTCCATTTAATAAATTACATTCTCTAATTCATTTTTCAAAAACTAATCACTTAGAATAAGGGTCTTATGAATAACTGTAAAAAGAACTGCTTGAGCACAAGAAAGAATCCCAGGTCAGACTTAGTTAGACTACACAGCAGAAGTGCACAGAAATTGTCTGACAATGTTTCTTGTCCAATAGGATGCAGACAGTATTCTGAGCTTTTCAACTGTTACACTGGCTGCAAAAGATGCCACAGGGAATTCACGTGAAAATAGCTATTTGAAGTGCTAGTGCTAGAAATAGTTTATACTCCTTTCAGGATTAAAAATCCTATACATCTTTGTAGAGGGAAGCTGTTTAGTGCTTCAGACAATATGCAATGTAGTTCTAAAGTGGAAATAAGGAAAACTGTTTAACAGGTCCCATCTCCCCACTTTCTCCTAAGTATCTTGCTCCATGAAGACTACTTGCTTAATAATAGCAGAAGTTTGTTATTAGAGGAAACCTATCAAAGTTTGACTCATCAGTTAGCAAGTTCCTTAGAGCTGTGGAAAATGACCAGCATTAAAATCTATTATTGTGAGCTCTTAATTATTTATATTCCCATAACAACAAAGGAATCATTTATAATCAATATAATCATTTATAACTTTGCTGCATTCCCTTAAAAGAAACTATTGAAAAGCTTAATGATTAATTCAGCAGTTTGGAGAGCTCACTAAC